TAGGAAACACCGGTAGCTGAAGAGGGCATTCAGAGGATACGTTTAAGAATGACTAGGTCTTTTTTAAGTAAAGCTGGGAAAATAACTTAAGAAAAGTAAAGTATGAGGGGGAGAATGCAGGCATCCATAAATCGCCAGATAAGGGCTTACCGTGTGCGATATGAACGCAAGCGGCGGATATAATATAAAAGCTTACGGATTTTAATAAAAAGGCCTTTTATATGAAAAGCAAATGTAAGGTTGGATGCCAGAGTAACGCCAAGGTATTGGAAAGAGGATACTTCGGTGGGCAGAATGCCAGTAGTTTCAGGACTGGGAGAGCGTCGCAGTCGAAAAATATACTGGAATGACATCCGCTCGTTAAGTAGGGGGCTATTTGCCAACTACCATGTTGAGACGTGGTCCAGGCCATCCTTCGGTATTCTGGACATGCATATACAAGACAATGAGTTCTCTTCTCCTCATTAAATTGCCGTTGTCGAGATTTTTATATAGCAGAGACAATACAAAAGCCTAACAAATAAGTCGCAGTCAAACGTTAATTAAAGACAAACATCATCAACGCCAAAAGTAACGGTAAATTAATGCCCGTTTTCCTCCTACTTTTAAGCGTCCTGATCCGACATCGACGGAAGTCAAACGCCTTCAAGAGGCGCTTGCTCAAAAGGACTTCGTTATTAAAGATTTGCAAGTTAGTCAATCCCCTCTCTTATAACATGCCATTACGATTCGAAAACGTTCATTTTCTCAGAAGGAACGGTCATAAATCTATAAAAAACGGTCAGGGTGTACCTGTTAACCTTCGACGTAAGGAAAAACATGTTATCGGAGTAAGCTTATTTCAATTTCTACATTCATAACCTCAACAAACCCTCACTGCGCGTCACCAGGCGCTTATTATCGACTCCCAACTCCCCATCCTCTATTCCTATGACTCATTTGCATGTAATAACAATCGTAACTGATTGTATGTTTACCTTTGATCCCCTTCCCATATAAGTGTAATGGCTCGATGAGGATCTACCAAAAAATGCCATATGGTCACTAGCTGTTCCCCTGAATTCTCTGATGGCAGATTCTGCAGCGTGAATATATAAAATGCGCAACTTAGCGACCATTAGTGATGTCACTTCTTGTTACATGGCAGGCAATTATACAAGTAGAGATTCCATTGGGTTGGCTGCCTAAACTCCATTATTTGTTCTCTTTCTCGTGACTGTAAAAGTTAAACACTGCTCATTCTCAGAATGGCTACTCATAATTCTGAACTCTCGACATAGACCTTTGGCCCGTCGTATGTAGAAGTTTACTGCCTGCAAAGGGGAGTTGCCCTCTCTATAGAACGCTGGCCGTGGAAAGGATCCCGCAGATTCTCGGCTTTCTCACAAATCCTTTAATAGCTTTAGAATTACCCTTTTGGAGGTTATGTACTAAATAAAATAGCGTGATCGTCCAGTTTTATGCCAGAGTGACTGTTTTGATCCTCCTGTACATTTTCAGTTGACCCCACAACCAGATTTCTGTTGCTCATAAGCTCCAAACGGAATTCAGTTTTTTTTGCTGTCTGTTAATCCAGCTCCTTTCGACTCTCAGTCGCCTTAATGGGGAGCAAAATCAGAATAGTAATAACTTTGCCTTTTTTACAAATGCAATGAGGTTTAACCTCGACATTTACTATAACTGTACGGACCTTAGACACTGCCAATATAAACAGTTTCATAGACAGCTCTAGAACCCAGAGTGATTTTGATATCCAAATGTCTAATAAGAACCACGGGGCTCGCAATTTACGTGTCTGTGTAAAGGAACGTGCTCTGTAGCATTAGGACTTTCAGAGCGCTCAAAATATCTTTTCAGAAAGGGCAAAAGTAGCTTATGTAGGCCCACTCATATACTTGTAGTCCCAGCACTTTGTCCTACGAAAACGGTTGTTATGGAGTTTTGGGGGTGGGGAAATAGGATAGGCAGAGAAGGAAATCTTTAGAAGTAAGTGAAAAGGGAAAAAAATGTAGTCGCAGTTGCTTCCCGCGGCCGCTGGGAGTAAGTTGTTCCGCGTGTAAATTGAAGGCGTGCGCGGCGCTTCGCGCCACGGACTATACTAATCTCACTCCAGAACGGTGAGTTGGACCTCAGGTAAGTTGAAGTGGACGACCCCCTTACCACCATTTTTCGGGAAATTCAAGAAACCTGCAATTTGATAATCGGGGTTTTCCTCAATAAGTTGTTTCGGGAAATTCAAGGAACCTGCAATTTGATGATCGGGTTTTTCCGCAATAAGTTAAATTGATAATACAGATTAGGGAAAATCTACAGATAAAATCAACAACACTTCTAAATACAGTAAAACAAAAATGCATTTAGCATTTATTAAAGTATATTCCACTGCCTGTCCTAATTACCCACTCATAAAACCCTATAACCACCGTTTACGTAGGAAAACATGCAGGGAGTAGGAATAAATGTGTGGGCCTACATAAGCTGCTGTTGCCTCAGAAAGAGTACTTACAGTAATACTAATTTATGGTTAACAGCAGACCTTATCTAACTCTAAATAGGTTTATCATCGAACTTCCTAAGATTGTCAATTTGGGAAACGACTACCAGTAACGAGGACCTCCACGTTCCTAGCATTCCATACAAATTGCGAGAGAGGGACTTACTTTTAAAAGTTATAAGAGAAGTCTAATGCATTAAGACTCTGTCTGCAAAACAACCCCTGCTTGAATGTTCTTGAGTCCTTAAACGTTGCCCTTTATTTTTATGAAGTTAAATAAAATTGGACATATCCGTGTGTTCTGGGCATGAATCTAAATGCTAATGGGTTTTCTTCTCACCAATAAATTGCCGCTATTGAAAGTTTTATATAGTAGAGATTATATGAAAGTGTAAGTTTGACCTAAGTTGTAGTCAAACGTTGATTTAACACAAAAATCGACAGCGGCAACCGTGACAATAAAATAATGTCCGTTTTCCTCTTGCTTTTAAGCGTCCCGACCCGAAATCGACGGTAGTTCAACGCCTTCAAGAGGAGCTTGCTCAAAAGGACCGCGTTATTAAAGATTTGCAAGTGAGTGCATCCCCTCTCCTATAAAATGTCATTGCGACTGCAAACGTTACACCTGAACTAAAACCATCAATGTAAAAAACGCTTTCTTTACTTTTAATTGTGAGCTTCTCCACATTCAACTCTGGTTTGCTCTGCCTTCGCTTAACGCTACTTCAGGCGGCCAACTCCTACTTAATCTTGTGGCATAGACGGAGCGTAAGTGGTTATCGAGCATTTCAGCGAATGCGACTCTAACCGACGGTGTGTAACAATCAATTCAAAAATCCGAATGTGCATCGTATTTCAAACGAGGTCTAGTGTCACAAGACAATCCTGGTCCTCCAACGAGGAAGGTATACTTTTGTTTACGTATGCTTGAGCCTGTTGGCGCTAAGCACAAGTTGGCGCCAAGCACAAGACTTTCTTACCTCTACGAGAAAATAGGGCAGTCTGGGAGTTAAATCTTACTCAAACGTTAATTTAACACAGAAATCGTAAATTCCCAAAGTAACGATAGAATAAGGTCCTTTTTTCTCTTGCTTTTAAGCGTAATGAACCGAGGTCATCAGAAGTTCGACGTCTTCAGGAAGAGCTTGCCCAAAAAGACCGCATTATTAAAGATTTGCGAGTAAGTGCATCCCCTATCCTGAAAATCTTGCATATTACCTTCAAAATAAGACATTATTTTTCTCCGTAAAATTTCCTTACGACTGCAGAATGTTCATCTTCTCAAAGGAAACGGTCATAAATCCAGAATAAACATTAGGATATACTTGTTACTGTTCGAAGTAGGAAAAAGCCTTTTATCGGAGGGCTCCTTGATTAAGTTCTACATTCATAATTCGCATTCGCATCAGAATTTTTGGTGTGATTTCGACGTTTCAGGGCTCCCCTTAAACCCAACTTTAATTGGGAACCAGAGATATGTCTTCCTGTTGTGAACTTTAAGCAGTGAAGACGCTTCTACTTTATACGCAGTCGCGATAAAACTAAGAGTGTATCAATGTATGGCCAATAGAAACTACTGATTCGTGTTTCTGAAGACTGCTGCAAGTGTTTCGCTCTTAGGAACCGGCCAAAATCCACTACCAGAGGAGGACGTGTCGCCGCGAAACCATCTTTAAAACTTTTCATGCTGCATCGAGCGAGTGGGCATGGTTAGCCCGAACTGTTCTCAAACCATCAACCTCAATAACACCTTCTTTAGTTTTAACTAGAGCGGAAGCCCGGCTTCGCCTTGGCTTCCTTACCGTTGTTCTCCTTTAATGAAGGAAAAAGGCAAGTGTCCTCTGCAGTAAAACCTTTTGAAACAATTAA